TAATTGTTTTTGGACTACTGGTAGGCAGTCAGTCCTTAACTGTTGGGACTCATCGTTATTAAATAATATAGAGCATTAAGTTTTAAGTAACATTTACCTATATTTGAGTTTAAAATAAACAAATCTATTTTATTTTGTTCACTTTGTCTTATTTTTTTTATATTATTTCAGTTGCCATCGTTGTTGCGTGAGTGTCATTATTGCTGGCGAAGGACTGATAAAGCAGCATCACGTTATACTTTAGAATGGGAACCATCTGAATCATCTGGTCCGTCCTCGTTGCAATCTAAAGTGAGTAATGTATTGAACCTAGAACCACAAAGCTTCAGCACAAGATCATACATCATACAATATACTGCTGCCTAATTTTGTAAGAGCACCACTCACACAAAATCAATGTTTTTTCCTAGTTGTAATAATTCCAATCAACTCACTGTTCCATCAGCATTGCAGGTATGTCTTTTTGTTAATACAAGTAGGGTCGATGCGCTGGTTTTCGGCCTTTTAGTGGAGTTGTCAACTTTAAGGTACAATAAAAAATAATAGCCATTATGTTGACCTAGTGCTGTTAATGTTAATTTATAGCTTATATAATGTAGTTTTAATTTTTATAACTCATTGATGCTACAAAAGAAATCTATTCTTTATAATAATTTTTGATGTGAAAAATATGCAAAACGCTAGTTTTCGGCCCCAAATTTTAGATTTCGGCCCACAAGTATTTTAGTTTTCGGCCACTGTATTAGAAGAGGTAGTACAAACGTAAAAGTGTTTTTGTAAAATCAGAAAATGGCAAAACAGTTTGGGAAATCGGTGTATTTAGTTTTTTCAATCGGTGCTTGCAATTTTTTAACCGTAACATAATTTTTTTTTCATTTTGGGGGTGGTTTTGATATAAAATAATAACCATGATTAATCATTTATCTTTTTTATTTATTATATATTAATCATTCTTTGAATCATAATCTAATAATAAAATCTTTTAAATATAGCATATCAATCGAATCTTCTCATTTACGAGTATTTTGTACTTCCTCATAAGTATTTTTGTTCAACAAAATCTGTTACCATCTCCAACCATCAGTACATCTTAAATCCATTTGGTGCAAAAGTCACATCCAATATAATGATTTCTTATATTTACACGAACACTACACATTGATTAAAACTACTTTTATGGATTTTATCGCATTTAATTGTAATTGATTTTTTCACATCACATCCAATATTTTTTCCAGATCTTCTTCTGTATCGTTTATTAAAATATTATGACACAAAGCGCAATTTACTCTTATCCTATTCTCCTTCATAGATTTCTTGGATTTAGCTATTTTTCGTATTTAAACTTTAGCAATCTTTAATTTTTCTTTTTCTATTTTTTTCTTTTTCAAAATATTTTAGTTCTTACTTCTGTATTTTAACTTTCACTTATCTTCATAAAATTTTCGCCACACCGCAGTTCCACTAGTTTATAGAGCTGTACTAGTCTGTTTAGTTGGAATATAAACCCACACATTTTCTAAAGTTTCAGAGATTTTGTTTGTTACCGTCGGTGTTTGTAGTGGTATCATCGTGGTGATTTGAGTCGTTATTGTTTCATTACTGAAATCTATTATCATTTCAGGCATTGTCAGTACTGTTGTCGTTGGTAGGCTTATTTGAGTTTGGATTACAAGAACATTATATAACGATACTTAGGAACCAATATCCAAATAACTTCCTGACAAATGCAATGTTGAAATTTTGTTATCGATTAACGATTCTGATGCATCGGTAGATGAATAAATAGTTAACACAACATCGTGAGTTAGAATATTTTTATCTTGATCTGTGTTGCACAGACTTTCTGGAGACTTAAATGGACTTAGTGGTTTTATATTGCTTGATTGGAGAATTTCCAAGTCTGCGTTGGCCTGTCTGTGTGGAACAATATTGATCTGAGAAGACTTTCGTTTCAATTTCCTTATCTCATTCACTATAATAGCAACCTTTATTTTTTTTCTGCCAAAGTTGATTTAAAATGTTTCTAAACTTTTCTAGTGGAAACTACGTCTGCGTTAGTTATTTCTTTAGAAATATTTATTCTTTTTTAATTATACCGATTAGTCTTTCCAGGGTTTGCTGGATTCAATTTAAGTAATCCACTGCATTGAGATCTATTTAATAAAGTCCACATTTTCTGAAGCCATTTACTTATTATATTTCTTTGGATGAGCCATCTGAAGAAAAAAAAAATCTTGTTAAATCTTCTTCCTAAAACGCAATATGAATAAAATATTTGATGAAATGGCCGTAAACGTAAACTAAGACAGCATTCTATTTTCCGCCAAGACTGAAATGGGTATTTTTGTTTCGTCACTAACTGTTCAAATTGAAGTATTTAGTGGCCAAAAATTGAAAGTTAGTGTCTTTGCACGCTACAATTCAATATAAGTAAGAAAGATGAATTATAGTACGTAACCAAATAAACGAAAGAGAAAAAGTATTTAGGCTAAACTCAGGCTACTTTTCGGCCGCATGGCCGACAGCCAAATAATAAGACAATTTTATGTGTCACTTTTCGGCCACTTAATTTATTAACTTTATTAATAAAGTATTATAATAATCAATTTCAAATAATTATATTCAGTTATTTATAAAGTGAAATTTAAGCACAATATTAAATAATCATAGTAAATACAGCACGAAACTTACTTTTGAATGGAACGCGCGCCACTATTTTTTTTGTCCGATCTTACACGCTTTGACATCTTCTGTGGCGGCGTCAAACTAAACTATTTATTATAAATCGCGTGTTGTGTTTACCTGATTAGTTAATGTTACCATATATTGTGCAACTATTTACAAGTGCATTAAACTTCATTTCGTACGATAATATTTATTAAAACCGTTATTAAATCAAATTTACTGCATCATCTTGATCCAAAGGCCGAAATCTAGACCCGGCCGGCTTACCGGCGCATCGACCCTACTATGTACCTCCAGAATGTAGAATCAGTAACTACCATTTAAATAGTAACTCTTGGTATTTACTTTTAGAATCAATATATAATATCCATATCCATATTAAAACATTTAGTGTAGCACAAATTATAGATTTTTCTACATTATTGTAAGATAATATTTACCATCATATAGACTGAAAATATTCACAGTATGCCTGAATATACTGTACATTATTATCTAGGCTTATCAAAGGCACAATACCAATAAATTCTGTCTGAAGTTCCCAAAATGTCAAGTAAACATAGTGGATGTTTTGCACTTGCTGTATATTAGATGAAAGTAAGAACAGGAGATAGTGATGAATGCATATAGGCATTATTGCAAGTGCCAAGAAAAAAATTGGAGCGGTTCATGAATATGGCCTGCGAAATAATAAATCAGGATGTTGTTCCTATGAATTTTATCCATCGTTACCACTCTCTGTGCCAAATTCCATTCAGTAATTATGATATTATATTAGAGGCAAATAATTTCTTAGCTTTCCTAGATGTTTTTGTTATCCAAAATCCTAACAACATCATAGGTCACACTGTGTATAGAAAAAAGACCCATACAAACTGATATTTAAGCGGTGAATCTCACCATCATCCTTCACAGTTAGTTACCGTGAGCAAATCTTTGTTACAGAGAGCATATGGGATCTGTGAGAGCAAGCAACTGGCCGCGGAGCTTCAGCACGTCAAGCAGGTTCTGCACAAAATCAAGCTTCGGGTCCGACGTCTACGTCACAGTGACCGAGTGAAGCCGACCGCAGTTGAGCTTGTGCCTACTGTACTACCATTTGTCAAGGGTGTTACCCCAACTAGATAGACATACATCAGATTTGATAGACCACAAATCCTCATGAAAGAACCTTAATTTCTACCAAGAATGATATGTGAGGCTATTGAAATTAAAAAACATCCTAATTTCAATAGAGAAGGCGGTTGGGTACTACCACCTGCTTGGGACACTATAATTAATAAAATTAAAACTAAATTCAAGCATACCACTGCAAGATTTAAAGATAGAGTAAGTTCAATCTGCGTGGATTTGACTATAAAAATAATAATAAAAACCTGAAGGTACTTCACGTCCCAATACTGACATTGGGATGGCAGTCACCTGATTCCCCCGTGACCATGGGTGCTATAAAGCACCTGAAACGTCGGGAATTAAAAGTTAAAGAAATTAAAAGCAATAAAATTGGTTAAAGTAGTCGTTAAAAAACTGTATTTGTGAAAATAAAAACTTTTATATCATAAAAATCCCGACTTTTTTTAAACCAATTCCTTAACCATTTTATTATTTTAATTGTATATTGTCATTTCCATATGCTTTTATATGTGGGCACCCATGGCCGAAGTGTATGAACAATGGGCATTCCCCTTTAGCTTGATTATAGCTAAATAGTGTTTCACAGAGTACTTTTTGTATACCTGAAATAGAGATGAATCTCAAGCCTAAATGCGAGTTGTAGAATGTGCTGCCGCTGGTGGTGTCAGATGGAACTACTAATATTTATTATCATATAGCTATAGTACATATGTAGTATATATATCTACTATATCGTATATCGCCTTCTTTATACTAGTTTCTTTACTTTTTTTTTAATTTTTCTAATTGTAAGAACTCATTTAATTGTACGATATCTTACAATAAGTATTATAGATTTTCATGTAAAAATAAAAACTCATTTCGGTATGTTAAGTCATTTATTGAATAAATCTTCTTTTTTACATTTGTGGAAATGTTTTTTGGCTTTCGTTGAAAAATTGTTCTTTTATCACAGAGTATTTTATTTATATTTTTTACATAATTATATATGAAACAATTAATTATTTAATTTTTATGTATACATTTCAAAAATTCAAAGTATACAGGTTTTTATTAATTCTTTTACATCGTTTCTATCTAAAAAAATTCTTTAAACGAAAACTGTTAATATTGTTTATCTTGCACTGCAGATACACTCACTATAAGAGACTAAGTGGCAGAGCAAAGCCGCCGTTTACCTGCATATTCACCGATTTCATTTTCTTGTAGGGCGTTAATGTTAGCAGTACATTCACTACAATTTTTAAAAACATTTTAAGCGCATCTAGCAAGTATCCACTAACATAATATAATGCTACCTTTATAATATAGAGAGCAGCTTTCACTTGAATATCAACTATTTCAACATCCAGGATTGTTTCGAGGTCACGGGTTGTAGCAGCTTTGCATTTATCTATGATGATAAGAGACTGCCTTACAATTGAAGGGCTGATAAGGGTGTAACTAACAAATAGTTCTAAAAGAGTAATAAGCGTTTGAAAATAATGAATAATCAAATAAACTTAGTAATTAAATCTTATTGTTTTACAATACAATATTAGTATCAATACTTAGATAAGATTTATTATTATAAATATAATATTTAAAAATAGGTTATTCTATGTCAATTTATTAAAAAAAAGCATTGAACATGTGAACATAAAACCTTTGTTTACTATAAACCAATTTAGTTTTGTTAAGAACTTACAAATATTTTAATTATTTATTTAAAATACCATTATTTATATGAGATAGTTTTTTTTATAACACTATTTATTAATTATTGAGAATTTAGAATATTTATGTAAAAGGACTGACTGCTCAATATACTCAAGTTGCGTTTTTATATCACAAAGTTTTTCTTTTGAAATTTTACCCTTGTGATTCATGTTACATCTAGTGGACACTGTTGGGATAACATCACATCACATTTTATTATCAACTATTTCTACATCAAGGATTGTTTCAAAGTTACAGGTTGTTGAATTTATCTATGATGATAAGAGATTAAATCCTTAAAACTATCTTTTTCACAACTTGCACCTGGGCTATGGACACTGGGCATATTATTAATTAAAAATGTAGTGTAGGTACTCTGAAACTGATCTGGTGTTGGATTAACATTGCGGCACCCATGGCTTCTAATGGCCCTAAAAATGTTTTCAATAGGGCCTTGGTTGAGCATTTAAACAGATGGTAGGTATCTAAACAGAGACAATACCACACTTAGTTTCCAAGATTTTAAAGGAATTTGTATTCCATCCAGTGTCCATACCCAATTTTAATTGTTGGCACACTTATGATAACTTAACATTTTATTTATAAATTTCATATCAATAAATATTGCTTTTGCTTCATTCCACATCTTATGGTGTGAGTAAGTATGAGTTTGGCCTTGCCGGTCCAAGAAGAGGCTTTCCATTTTCTTTTTTTCTTTCTTTATTATAAGGTGCCATTGACAGAATAGTATACCTTGTCAAAAAAGAGAAGTATTTCAGCATTTTCCTCACATCTCCGAAGAATGTTTTTTTCTGAAAAACAAAAAGCGAATTGATCCATTATAATAAACACTTGTATTATCAGACCACAACTCTGCCTGCAACAAAAAGCATAAGCAACTAACTTTGTCTGTGCTTTTTGGTGCTGCCGGTCCCAAGCCCGGAAAAGAGGGGGGCGCTTCCGCCGGAGAGAGTGCGTGTATCCGGTGGACTAACACACCCACCTGCGCTAGGATCTGCGCAGAAGTTGAGCGCCGTATGCGGGGATGAAGGAGTCCTGGAGGGTTGAGCCGATCGTCACTGGGGTATATAGTGTCGAGAGGCAACACGCCCTCTTTGGTCCAGATTTCAAGCTAAACGGTGGCCTTATCTGCTAGCCACAGATAGGGAAATGGCCAAGCGTTCCGTCAGAGGGGCGCAAGTGAGGGGTATAGGGGTTGCCTAGTCTCCCTGAAAAGGGCTAGGTGGTGGTAAAGGTCATGCTGACGGAGCAAGTGAAAGTCTACTCGGGCAGTGGGGATGGGCCTTTTGAGCCCTATCTGCCAGCTGGATCGAGCTCCCGATGTCGTGCTGTGAGCCAACTCTGTGTCCCTATATTCCCCCAGTAATCCTAACGCCTGAAATTCTTTTAATAAAGTAGGGCGTTCCCAAAGGTGCAGGCTCCATGGAGGGTGGGAAGCCGGGGGGACGAATTATTACACATTTCAAAAACTATGGACAACACAAGGCCCATTAGTAGAGAGGGAGACGTGTCAGAGGTGTGTAGTAAACTAGTAATGTATGATGTAATGTTCGTATAACTATTAGGTAATTTAAATAACGTTCACAGATTCCGAATAATTTAGTTTATTACGATCAATATACACACACAATTATTAAAATAAGAAGGAGAAGAGAACGATAGTAAATTGATACGGTATTATAATATTAATAGTTGAATGAGCAAGGGGCCGCGAGTAGCAGAACTCCTGCGGAGCCTCAAAGAACCGAAAACCTTTTCTCTGCTGTCTGGCAAGTGGTGAGCCGTAAGGGGAAGCGCAAGGCACCCAAAATGGTGACTTGCCGACCTGACGGACCATCAGGTGGGCCTATCCCAGCAGGCAGTGGTGTGAAGGTCAAAAAGAAAAATAAGAAGCAGCGAGAAAAAGGCCGCAGAGAAAGAGCCGCGCTTGCTGCTTCAAAGAGCAACACTCAGGGAGCTGGGCAAGCTACTGCTACTGCGATGCTTGGGGCTGGAACCAGTAGCCGTGCTGAAACTGGGAAGGATGAAAATCCAGCCCGAGCAGTAGGCACGGCCGCCGGAACCAGCTCTAAGAAATCCGCCAGGAACCAGAGAGCAGCCAAGCGTCCTGGAAAGATGGAAAGAGCAGCCAAAAGGATGCTGGAGGAGTCCACCTCGACGAGAAGAGAGCACAAAAAAGTGCGACTTGAACAGCAACCAAAGGCTGCAAAAACAAGCTACGCTTCTGCTGCTAAAGCAGATTTGGGTGTGGCCTTAACGTGTGCGCGTTCAGGTCACATAACAAAGGAGGTAGCTGATGACATCCTCGTGGCTATAGAGATCAGCGAGGCCTGGAGTAACCAGGACCCTGATCCGTCGGGCCCGGTTTTTAGAGGCAAACCCGTTTACACGGAGGGTGTCCTAAAGCTGTGGTGTGATGACCAGAAGGCTCTGGACTGTTTGAAGGAGAATATTAATACCCTCGACCTCAAATACAACACCTCGCTGACTATTAAGAAACAGTCAGAGATACCACAAAGAATCAAATGTGGTATCCTTATCCTTGATGCCCAAGGTGCCTGGAAGGACTCACGCGACATTGGTCGTGTGCTTGCGTACCAGAACCGCTGGGTAAACATCAAGGACTGGCTGCTACTCAAAGCGGACAAACAGACGGACGGGTGGTTCCTCGTTGTTTCGGTGCCGGAGGATCATATCCCGACCCTGATGAAAGCCGGGCGCCGTCTCGCGATGTGTATGTGGGACGATATACGTTAAATTCCAGGTCGCGGAGAAAAATTCGTTGATTATCCACCGAGCAAAGAGGCAGAAAAGAACCCAGAAGTCATGGGTACCGTGGCCATGGTTGCCGGTACATCGAAATCACTGGATGCCAAGTCCAGTGAAAAAACGGCCTACACAACCGAGCCGAAGCCCCCAGTGGAAATTGAGCTCACCGGCAGCTCACTGAGCGACGAAGAGGACTGCATTTTGCCGTCCAATTCCGACTCGGTGGCTGACGATGAGACCCGGGATCTGCTGGTAGGCTTATTTTTGGGCGAGGACGGAGATGACGCGATCGATGACGGCGTGCCCTTCGTCCAAAACTAGCCTAGTGCAGGCCAACCTCCACCACAGTGAAACAGCGTCGGCTCAATTACGCAAGTGGTTGGAGTCACAAAGCACGCCCATAGCCCTAATCCAAGAGCCATGGGTTGGGGCTGGTAAAATTAAAGGCCTAAACAACCTAAAAGGTAAGTTATTCTACAACTCTGAGCACGACAAGCCCAGAGCGTGTATTTATACTACTAAAGATATCTGTGCAAAACCATTGACAGATTTCTGTTCAAGAGACATGTATGCCGTAACACTACAAAATACACAGGAGGGAAGGTTAGTCGTCGCCTCGGTCTACATGCCTGAGGAAGACACCCCTCCTCCTCACGACCTCGTCAGGCTGGTGAATTTCTGTGAGAGGGCCGGACTAGAGGTTGTGATCGGGATGGACTCCAATGCTCATCATCCCCTTTGGAGAATGGAAAAACCTAATGAACGAGGTAAGGTTTTAGTTGAATATTTATTTAGTACTAACCTAACCGTTTTAAATACTGGTTCTGAACCAACCTTCATAAATAAATGCTGTCGCACAATAATCGACCTCACACTTGCAACAGAAGGAGCAGCTAAACTAATAACGAGATGGCATGTGTCGAAAGAGGCCTCATGCTCAGACCACAGATGGATCTGCTGCGCACTACAGGTCGATATCTCCGCTATACCACCATGGAGAAATCCCCGCAAGACGGATTAAACTAAATACCTCAATAGACTGACGTCTTCGCTCGCGGGTGTTGGGGGAACTAATACCTTAGCAGATCAATCGCTTCTAAAAGAAAAGTTAGCAGCTGTTACTAAAGCCATGATCTATAGCTACCATGAATCATGTCCAGTAATCACTCCACCAAAACATGCTGACCAAAAGCAACCGTGGTGGGGTAAAGAACTAGACAGGAAACGCAAGAAGGTAAGAAAAGCCCTAAATAGGGCAATGAATACCTCAATGGATGAAGAGTGGCTACTATATAAGAAAGCTAAGTCTGAATACAAAAAATGTATCAGGTATCGACGCTCAACAGGGAAGTGCAAATTCTGTGGTAGCATAGAAACCTGTGAACAAGCAAATTGGATAAAAAAATCCTAGCTAAACAGAACACGCCGGGATCTATCTCTTTAAAGAGACCCGACGGAAGCTACTCAACATCGCCGGATGAAACCCAACGCATCCAATTGATACTCACTTCCCAGGTTGCTGTGTAGTTGAAAGGGTGAACTGGCATGAAAATGTACTGACACCAACAAAAGAAGACTGGGACTTAGCATAAAGAGTGGTGACAATGGATAAAATCCATTGGGCCATTCATAGTTTACAACCCTATAAGGCAGCAGGACCTGGTGGCTTATTCCCGGCACTTCTTCATGGGGGGGGGGGGGGTAAAGTACTAACAGTCAGACTTGTTGCCATAATGAGAGCATGTCTGGCTCTTAAATATGTTCC